AGCACCATCTTTAGGTTACTAACACAACATAAAGTCAATACATTCTTGCTGCCTGGGATCCAAGCTGCTAAGATGACATTAATACATGGTCTGAAGCCAAAACCCTTTTTAATTTTTTTGTGTAACATCGTAAATGTTATTAGGTTTAAGTAAGTACTAACAATGCACTCATGTGTTAAAAGGTGAAGGGGGTGATTAATTATAGGGTGCTTTTTCTTTCTTTATATATTTGGAGAACTGTTTAAATTAGAATGTGTTAATTTTATAATTTAAAAAGCATACATATACAATAAAGGTGTTAAAAATGCATAACTGAGTATGTATTCTTATATATGATTGAAAGAAAACAAAAATCAGAGGATGGTCTCGATCTCCTGACCTTGTGATCCGCCCGTCTCGGCCTCCCAAAGTGCTGGGATTACAGGCTTGAGCCACCGCGCCCGGCCACCAATCCATTTAAAAAAAAAATTTACTGAGAGCTTACTCTGAATAAAATTTTTGACAATGTATGAATATGAAAAAACATAAGGCAGCTGGAGCTTCTTAATCTACTGGAATATCAGAACCAACATAAAGTTCAATACAGTAATCAGAAGGGTTTAATGTTTACTTATAAAACAGGCCATTTATTACCCTTTTGAAATATACTCAAATATAATTTAATTATTGAAAAAGACAAACGTATTTTGGAAATAATGACTTATGGAAATTACTACACTCCATTTCCAGAAAGAGCTATTTTCCTTATCATCTTGGTTCTAAAATAGACAGCAAGCATTAATATCACCTGAATGTAGAAACAAAAGTTTAATCTTTCAATTAGCTAATGTCTATCATTTGTCCAAAAATTAATTACTGGTATTTAACTTGTTCCTTATTTTACACCCTTAGCAACACTAATAAATCAATACATCAATTATCATTTTTTCAAAATGTTATCAGATTCCCAAAATACAGTAATTACATCATCACTAGTCTCTTTTATGACTGGATAAGACTAAAACAAATTTTGTAATATGAGAAATGTGTTTACTGCTATGGGATTTTGAAAATATAATCTTGAGGTATTATTCTTAATAGTCAAGAGAAGCCTCTATTTTCCTTTTTAAAGGATGAAAATCTTCCAGCTTTATAAACCATGGACTAGACCAAGGCTGCTCAGGTAGATTTGACAGCACCATCTTTAGGTTACTAACACAACATAAAGTCAATACATTCTTGCTGCCTGGGATCCAAGCTGCTAAGATGACATTAATACATGGTCTGAAGCCAAAACCCTTTTTAATTTTTTTGTGTAACATCGTAAATGTTATTAGGTTTAAGTAAGTACTAACAATGCACTCATGTGTTAAAAGGTGAAGGGGGTGATTAATTATAGGGTGCTTTTTCTTTCTTTATATATTTGGAGAACTGTTTAAATTAGAATGTGTTAATTTTATAATTTAAAAAGCATACATATACAATAAAGGTGTTAAAAATGCATAACTGAGTATGTATTCTTATATATGATTGAAAGAAAACAAAAATCAGATTTAAAAATTTAAGAGGTCCAGGTGCGGTGGCTCATGCCTGTAATCTTAGCACTTTGGGAGGCCGAGGTGGGAGTATCACTTGAGCCCAGGAGTTCCAGACAAACCTGGACAACATAGGGAGACCCTATCTCCAGGGAAAAGAAAAAAATAGCCGTGTGTGGTGGTCCCAGCCACCCAGGAGACTGAGGTGGGAGGATTGCTTGAGCCCAGGAGTTTGAGGCTGCAGTGAGCCATGATCACACCACTGCACTCCAGCCTGAGAGAGAGCAAGGCCCTGTCTCAAAAAAAAAAAAAAAAAAAAAAATTAAGGGAAAAGACAAATGGTTGTTTTAAAAGCCATGATGAGAATATATTGTAAATTTTTCTAAAGCATCAAGAAAACATACTTGCTCTCAAAGTTGCCATTAGAGATTCGAAGAGAAAGCTGAAGAGGATGTCAAGAAATTCCAGTATAAGCCAGGAGCGGTGGCTCACGCCTGTAATCTCATCACTTTGGGAGGCCGAGGCAGATGGATTATGAGGTCAGGATTTCAAGACCAGCCTGGCCAAGATGGTGAAACTCCGTCTCTACTAAAACTACAAAAATTAGCCAGATGTGGTGGCAGGCGTCTGTAATCTAAGCTACTCAGGAGGCTGAGGCAGGAGAATCGCTTAACCCAGGTGGCAGAGATTGCAGTGAGCCGAGATTGCGCCACTGCACTCCAGCGTAGGTGACAGAGCGAGACTCCGTCTCAAAAAAAAAAAAAAAGAAGAAATATCAGTATAGCCCCCCTAGAAACTGGAGGATTACTTGGTGATTACTAATTAAAATTTGGTTAGAATCAAGTCAAATGAGATTACATAGAGATATAATAACTTATAACTTAGATAAGGTCTGTAAATGTTAACTGACTTTGCCAACGTGATGTAAATAGTAACAGATCTAAGTCGAAAGCAAAGTCTATAACTAATGTGCTTTCCCCAGACTGCAAAACGTTAATCCTTCCAATAACATTGCTTCCAATCTTTCTAATAAAACTACTGTATGGGTAAAACCTCTGGAGCTAAATTTAATTAACTCTTTTGGACAATTAGGTTTCCACTCCATTGAAGAAGCTATAGAAATGATTTTGTTCATACTAGGAGTTCATGTTACTCTACCAGCTAGGTACTATATTAGGACTATGCAATTCCAAACTTATTTTTTGACTCTATGAGATCTTAAAACTGCCCTTTCACTTTCCATGTTTTTAATTACCATAGGTCAGTACATTACTGAATCATTAATTTAACTATCACTCGAGAATGAGGTCTTGTGAAAGAACAAAACGGCCTTATCACACATGATATAATACCATAGTAAAAAGTTTAGTGATATTTTCAAAACTAAAAGAAAAACACCATCAATTTCCTGATTTCTTTATAACTATAAAGAAATGTTCCCAGCTATATCTGCAAGGCCTAATACCATGCCAGCCATAACAGATGCTTAGGGGGGGGGGAAAAAAAAAGCTCAGTGACACAGCACCTTCAACATGAGCTACATAAGAGTAGTTAATTTTGGAACATTGTAAAAAACACAACCAGTAAATCTGATGGTGTAATGCTATTACTGTTTTAATAATAATAACTACTAACATTTGAGTTCTGACTACCAGGTATTGTGCTAAGGGCTTTACATGTATTATTCTCAGTAGGCAAAATTATTGCCTTCATTTTAATAAGAACACACCCATGTCAAGACAGAACAGTTACTATTTGGCAAAAACACACGGTTCCTCCCTAAACAGGTCTCTGCACAAAGTGGTCTCCACAGAGAGGCCTTCCCTAATCACTCTATCTGAAAGTCCATCTAACCCTTCTTTATTCTCTATTCCTGAACCTCACCATATTTATTATCCTTATAACTCCCCACGATCTGTACTTATCTTGCCTACATACCTGTTTACTGTCTTCATCACTAGAAGGCAAGTCCCCCAAAGGCAGGGATCTTGTCTGATTTGCTCAGCACTATATATCCAGCACTCAGCACAGTGCCTGATTCAAAACAAGTGCTCAGTATTTATTGAATGGATGACAGAAGTTAACCAAGAGTACCAAAATTTTCTTTGCAAAAGTGAAAATTAGCTTAAATAAAAAATAAACACAAAATGATGTCTATTATAACAAAATGTTAATAACTATATATATTTATAAACATTATAAAATTTAAATACAAAATACATAAAAGCATAGTAGTTAAAAGCATGGAATTGGGGCCAGGTGCGGTGGCTCAAGCCTGTAATCCCAGCACTTTGGGAGGCCGAGACGGGCAGATCACGAGGTCAGGAGATCGAGACCATCCTGGCTAACACGGTGAAACCCCGTCTCTACTAAAAAATACAAAAAACTAGCTGGACGAGGTGGCGGGCGCCTGTAGTCCCAGCTACTCAGGAGGCTGAGGCAGGAGAATGGTGTAAACCCGGAAGGCGGACCTTGCAGTGAGCTGAGATCCGGCCACTGCACTCCAGCCTGAGCGACACAGCAAGACTCCATCTCAAAAAAAAAAAAGCATGGACTTTAGAATCAGAAGGACCGGGGTTTGAATCCTGGCTCTTGTCACTGTATGATCTTGGGCAAATTAATTAATCTAAGTCTCAGTTTTCTCATCTATAAAATGAGGGTATGGCCAAGCACAGCAGCTCATGCCTGTAATCCCCCCACTTTGGGAAGCTGAGGTAGGTAGATCACTTGCGCCCAGGAGTTCGAGACCAGCCTGGGCCACATGGTGAAACCCCATTTCTACAAAAACTTAAAAAAATTAGCCGGGCGTGGTGGCACATGCCTATAATCCCACCTACTAGGAAGGCTGAGGTGGGAGGATGGCCTGAGCCCAGGAGCTCAAGGCTGCAGTCATGATGGCAGCACTGCACTCCAGTGTGGGCAACAGAGTGAGACCCTGTCTCAAAAAATAAAGTCGTAGTGGGGAGGTGGTGATAATACTACCTACTTAACAGAACAGTCACAAGAAAAAAATAATATACCTAGGACAATTCCTGAATAATGCAATTATTATGTTGGCTATTAAAAATGCTAATACAGTAAACAAATGTTTAATTAGAATCTTATGTTACCTAGAAAGTTCCTAGTTGAGGAAAATATTTTCTATTTCTATTGTATCTAGTAACCTTTATAAATGAAATAAGATGAATGACCTTTTGATTCTATATCATGCATACCAGTAAAACTGGCATTTGGGATAATGGGTCAACATTTTAAATGGAGGTCAGTAAGAAATGAATTCCCTTCATTTAAATTGGGTTAGTGGTTGTCTTGGGATGCCAGTAATAGCATTTACTTCTGGTCTAGAAAGAATCTGTTCTGTCACTAAACAATTTTAAAATTGTACTTTGGGATCACTCAGCTGATCCCAACAGTGAAGTTACTGCCCCCCTTTCAAAATAGTCTCACATTCCATACAATTAGCCTAAACTTATACCTCAAGTTCAAAGTATACCACTTTAGACCTTAATGTGGATGAGCACTAAATATAAGGCAATAGCTACATATACACTTTTATTTTAAACAAACATTTTGAGAATGATGGTGACTAAAAGGAGAAAAAAAAAGTGAAACAGGTAAAAAAAAAAAAAAAAAAAAAACAGGGAAAAGAAAAAAAAAAGCTTTAAAATCAATAACTCCAAAAAAACCAAAACTATTCTAAGGGGAAAAAATTTCATATATGCTTATGAGATAGTATAAGTGTTCTTAGTGCATATATTTGCTTAACTCTTCAGCCTCATCTCTGGCTGGCTTTGACTTTTGCCTCTAAAACACAACCCCACCTGGGCCTAGGGCTCTTCATCCACCAGTTACAGGATTTAACTGAGGTTAAGTTAGCTCCTCTAGAAAACTCCCATGACACTTTAAAAGCTGGGTTATATATTCCTCCTATGAACTCTAACAGTGTATCTTCTGAATACAGTATTTATCACACTGTATTAATATCAGTCTATTTATTTTCTTACTATTGCATCTCTAGTAGAAGTGGATGGCTAAATGATAATTATTAAAAGGTAAATGTGTTATACAATTATAACTGAGGGGTATAAATCTTTTCCTATGTCTCCCCAAAAGTTTCAGAAAATGTTAGTTCAGAAAAATTTCAAAAAAAGAATATTGAATAGAAATGTTCTATTATGTACTTTGTGTTTTCCACAATATCAAGTACAAAAATGTTTTATTATATACCTTTTATTTTCCAGAATACTACTTTAGCCAATGGATGTAAATAAGTGAATCTTTGTTTACACATTTTATTAATAGTAAATGAGTTTCTTCCCTCCCAGTAAATATATACTGAATATATATTTAAAGAAATATCAGCCTAAATTGGCAACAAATTTTTAGCCTACCCACAATCGTCAGTCCCGACCCTCATCCCAGTTCACAGCACTAACACATAGCAGGCCTGTAACAGATAATTTGTTAAATGAATGAGCCAAATAAACTTTTGAAGCATATGACTGGTATCTTCTTACATTAATTTCATTACCTGCATATTCATAAAACCAAGCCAGGCACTTCTTGCTTGAAAAATGTTCCTCTCCACTTATTAGTCTAGCAGGGGGTTGGGATCTGCAATAGCTTAGAAAACATACAGATGCCTAAGATTTTTATCACATCTCAACTCTTAGAGAAAAACTAAGTTCAAAATTAACTACTTCAATTCACATTAAACAAATATTTTTTTTTTCTTCGGTTGGCATTACTGGAAAAAAATTGAAGTTGTTAAGTAACTGCAACTTGAAACAGTAGTCTATACATAAGAATTATCGGCTAACAAAACCCAAACACCTCTTCACTCAGTATCAAAATCCAAAAATATCAGTAAGTTATTTCCTCACATTTTAAAAGACTACAAAGAAGTTCAACCTAGTAGTTGGAAAAGTATAAATATTTATTGTGAGTTCTATTGATTTGTATACAAATTCTATTTGTGTGTAATAGATAAATATTGAAAACACGAAGTATATTTTGATACTTAATGAATCAATATTTCAAAATAAAATGTTATATTAAGAGTTGTTTTATCACCTAAGCTTAGATTTTTAAAGATAAATGATGACTTAGGACCTAAGGGTATATTAAATTTCACAGATTTAAAAAAACACAACAAAAAAACCCTAAAAGTTAATAATAGTCCAAATAATTGGGATAGGGTATTTAATCCTAGCTTCTGTTCATTCTGTTTCATTTTTTTCATAAAATTTCTCTTTTTCATAAAATAACTAAAATTTGGTAAGTTCAAAATGGCCTCTAGAATTTAATGACTTTCAGAGAAACTTTTTTCAAGGAACTCAAATAATTATCCTACAATGACATAGAAATGCTAGAACCTCTGTAATTGAGTAATGTAAAGTAAGAGTATTATATTTAAAAATTTAAATTGATAGAGCAAAGTTATCACCTGAGTTCTAATAATACTGCCTGCTCAGCAATTTTGATGTACTTAAATAATTTTAATACATTATATACTTAAGATGGCCATGAGATAGAGTAATACAAAAATGAATTAATAATTTGCCTATATATTATAAAAATACGAGCTACTAAAGAAACCCATGTCAAATTCTAATGTTGGCTAACAAGAGGTATAAAAAAAGTGTATCATCTTTCACATTAATAGCCCAAGAAATACTTCTTAGACTCCTTTATCAAAACACAGTAATGAGGGAAAAAAGTCGACCAATTACAAAAAAGATGACTAGACAAGTCATCTACCTCACAGTTTAAGCAGATCTCTGTTTAAGGAGAGCTCTAGCATTACTTCCTTCTTATAATCCTGACTACTGTCTTCTTTTAATAGTAGCACCTTAAGTTGTCATATCAAGTGCCAAACATTGATGAAAAGGCAGCTAATATGGGTATTTTTTTAAAAAGCATTTCTCAGTCGGGCGAGGTGGCTCACGCCTGTAATCCCAGCACTTTGGGAGGCCGAGGCGGGCGGATCGCGAGGTCAGGAGTTCAAGACCAGCCTGGCCAACATAGTGAAACCCCATCTCTACTAAAAATACAAAAAATTAGCAGGGTGTGGTGGTGGACACCTGTAATCCCAGCTACTTAGGAGGCTGACGCAGGAGAATCGCTTGAACCCGGGAGGCGGAGGTTGCAGTGAGCGGAGATCGCGCCACTGCACTCCAGCCTGGGCGACAGTGGAAGATTCCGTCACAAAGAAAAAAAAAACAAAAAACAAAAACCACTTCTCACATCAAAATTGCTGTTATTTTTTTGTAGCATATAATTTTGCTGTGATGCCTCCAGGATATGCTACAAAGGGATCAAAGAACTACTACTATATAGTTCTGCCTTGTCTTCTTTCTTACCAATAGGACAGAGTACAAGAGTTCACAAATTATTTAATTTATGCTGAGAGCGAACAGCGTCCTGAATGCTAGAAGACAAAAAGCATGCAGGGCCTTTCCAACTCTGCACACAGGCACTTGGCATAGGTGAGGCACTATACTTCCAGAAAATGGGGCTCCTGCAATTTAAAAGGCCTCCTGCTGGGACCTTCCGGGTTAGGCCACTCCAAATACTAAATATGGAGGCCAATTACAGCATACAAGTTTTCCTTTCTACCATTCCCAAGACAGTTGACAAGACTCCTTATGTGCTGCTTTCTTCACACTCTACAAAGAAATTCTAGAAGTGACCCTTCCGCGGAACTGCACTCACTTCTAAGTCTAGGAAAAAAAGGCAGAGGAGCGATACGGGAGTAGGAGATTGAGGGTCGGTTGTGGGGTGGGGGTGGGGGGCAGCGCAATTTACATATGCATCTGTTCCCCACCCTGCAGGGCACGTAGACTCTTAACGTGGGCGGCTCTTCTAGTCTCTCCATAAACGCCAGCGTGCACACACTCGAACACGAGGTCGGGTCGGGCGCGGAGACTCGCGGTGTTCGGCACCTACCGCCTAGCTCCATCAAAGGGGCCTCACCTGTCTCCAGCCCCAGCCCGGCAGGCCGGGCCCGACTCCTTTTCCTCCAGTTGTCCAGCAAAGGAGGGAGGAGGGAAGCTTGAAGGGTGGGGGGAGATGGTACCTGGAGATTTTACACTTTTTGAGGCCTCCGTCTTCCGCTACTGCGGCTGCCACCCCAGGGGATTTTCTCTTCTTCTTCACCGGCATCTTCCGCCCTCCCCGGCAGGGTGGGCAGGGGAGCCGGGGAAGGGGGTCCCTGTCCGCTGGAAGCCCCTCAGCGCTGGCACCCAGTTCCCAGAGACAGCAGCAAGCGGAGGAGCAGAGTCGCCAGCCCGCACCGGCACGGCCCAGCCCGGCCGACGCCCGCTCCCAGGTATCCTCGTCGTCTTTCTCTGACCGGGACAGGGCTGGCTCCTCGCCGGTGAACACTGCGGTTCGTTCTCACCGGGAGGAGATAACGCGGACAGCGCGGCAGCTCCACCAGTCACAGAAAGCAGAAGGCTCAGCCTAACCCGGAGGCGAATCGCTGAGGCCCGGAAGTGACGCGATCGCGGAGCCGGTCCCGGGAAGGGGCGTGATTCCGGTTGCCTCTGCCACTCGTAGGTAGGCCAGGCAAGGGGAAGCTGTCTGACCCTCGCAACTGCGGCTGCCCGCGGATTCTGTATTCTGTCCAGAGTATCCTGACGTTTCTCATGGAGTTTCTGCCGCGCTCTGATGCTGGCAGTCACCGCCAAAAAATGAAACTACTAATACTTTGCAGTTGACGTTAAAAATAACCTGGTAAAGTAGACCAAGTTCCACTTGTGAGCTCTTCCACACGATAACCTCACCTGAAGTGTTCCCACCCCTTAAATGCATTGTCACCCTGTGTCTTGCGTGTTTTCTTTATGGGCCTGTGATCAGCCTCCCACTCCCCCTTCTCCCTTTTCCCTACCTTTGCATATCACTTTGTCCTGTATTGAAACTTAGCTCTACCATTATTTCCGCAGAGCTCACCTCTCAGATAACAGATAGTAGATGACCGCTACTTAGTAGGAAGAAATTTGGGGGACAGTTCTAAGGAGCCTCCCCCTAGACCTTACTAACCAAAACATACTGTAATCTATTCACTTGCACTTAGGTGGAATTACTGTTTTAAAATAATGGTTATTGTATGTAAAGACATAGTAGAAATTCGTTAGTAATTCTGTTGGTAAAATAAATTTATCTCTGCAAACCAACTGTGATGGGAGAAGACTAAAAGTCTGAGTAACAGTTGAAGTGGTTCCTGTGAAACTACCTTCATAATGGCACCCTAATCTGGCCAATCCGAATATCATATTTCCTTAGTGTTATTAATTAGTTCAGGATGGACGCATACTCAGGCTAGGCCGATGAGTGCCAGTGACACAAAATTAAACCACCAGGAAGCAATTTTATTTCCTATGGATTTGAACCAGAGAAGGTACAGAGAATGAAGCCAAAGCTCAGAAGAGAGCAGTAGCAAGCAGAAAAATAGAAAAACCAGAACATGATTATATGATATGAGCCCAAAATCCATGATATGCCCTGGAATTTTCAGTTATGTGAACCAACAAATTTCACTATTTTGCATATTTAGTTCAATTCTCTGTTACTTAAAACCGAAAGAATGTCAAAGTATATGATCCTTCAACCCATTTAAAAACGCATGAGGCCAAAAAAAATCAAAACAGAATCAGATAAAGTCTCTAAATAGAACTACCATCTGCAAAAAGCACAGGACAGAGGAACATGTTAAATACCCAATGCAATCAGCAATATCTAGATGTCAGAAAAGTCTACAGGACAAATGACCCAAATTCTGCAACAAATTATTAGGATGAGAGGAGAGAGAAGGAAATTAAAAGAGACTTAAAGGATATGTCAGTCATTTTCAGCGTGCAGTTCTTATTTGAATTTGAGTCACACACACAGTTTAAACAATATTATAACATCTATGTGGCAATTGGAGATGTTACTGCTAGCTGGATATTTGATGAAATTCTAGAACATGTAAAACTTATTTATAGCATTGGCATATCAGTGACACTTGGGGACAGGGATGGAGTGAGTCGGGGAAGACTGACTGCAAAGAAACACAAGGGAACTTTTTGGGTGATGAACATATTCTATGTCTTGATTGAAGTAATAGTATATATACTTGTCAAAATTCATTGAATTGTACACTTAAAATGGATATTTTTATGAATATTCTTCCTAAACAAAATTTATATAAAATGTGCAAAACAAACCACAAAATAAATGATAATGACAAAACTATTAGAGATAGCCAAGCTTATTTCTTCAAGAAGTGAGCTGCAAAAGCTAAACAGCCCATTTTCCCAAGGAGGACCAAAGAAATGGAACAAAACCTAAAGGATGGAAAGAAAGATCTCAGAGGATGATATTAAAGGTGTGTCCTTCCAGAGAGTAGAATCAGGGCCTGATCAAAGTGTAGGGAATTTCATAATGCCTGTCTTGCAGGCTACCAGCATTGCTATAGACCAAAGACCACTGCACATCTCATCTTCTGTTCTTTTTTAAATAGGAATTTTTTCATTGTGATAATTGTGTCCCTTCTTCACCATTATTTATTGGGCGAGAGTGGGAAATAGATTATTGCCTCTTAGTTCATAGGCCATTGGACCATAAGGAATCACTTTCGAACCAAGGGGGACCCCACTATACCTGGAAATCCTGGACATTGAGCTGAATGCAGTAACTGAATAGGAGCCTACTGACACCCATAGAATACTCTGGAAAAAAAAGACAAAAGGCTGGATCTATGTGTGGTATTCATTTAGTCTATCTACTCAAAAAACATTTAATCATCACTTCACCCAGGAGCTTTACTGGGCCTAAGAATATAAAAGGCAGACATGACTCCTGCAATCATGGAGCTGCCAGTCTGGAGGGAGAAATAGTCATGCACCACATAACGACGTTTTGGTCAAGATGTGCATATGCGATGATAGTCCCTTAAGATTATAATACTGTATTTTTACTGTGCCTTTTCTATGTTTAGGTACGTTGAGATACACAAATACAATTGTGTTAAAATTGCCTACAGTATTCAGTACAGTACCATGCTGTACAGGTTTGTAGCCTAGGATCTAGAGGCTATCCCATATAGCCTAGGCATAGTAAGTGATATCATCCAGGTTTGTATAAGTACACTCTATGATGTTCACACAATGATGAAACTGCCTAACGACACATTTCTCACAATGTATTCCTGTCAATAAGCAATATATGACTCTGTGTATGCTATCTGCATTTAAGAGAATTGTATGAATAGGAATTAGGGTTCATAATCTATGCTTGTCAATGATATCAAAGGGATGGCAATTTCTGGGTCATGTAGACCATTCACATCCATCTACCTCTTCATTCTCTTGTCTGGTCAGTACCTACTGCTACTGGCAAACCTCCATTCCCAAAAGTTGGCTCTTCATCACCCTAATTACTCTCATAACGGGGCATATTGATAGCCTTGCTACCTATGAGAAGTATAGAAATGCCTAGTTATGTGGCTTTAATATTTTCTGCTGCTCACCGATGCACACATAGTGCATGATTTTGCATCAAAAAAGATACCTATAATACAGAAACAAACTATGACGAGTACTGTGGCTCTCTGTCATGCAGTAGAATTTTTAAAATGAAGGTAATGACAAGGAAGGGAGGGATGAAGTAGTTACCTGAAGTGGAAGCCTGTGTGTTCTGGTTTCAGATCCAAAGAAGACACTCAAGTGACTTTAGGAAAGGGATATAATTTCCTTTATCTTTCATCTTATCCTATTCTTATACAGAAGGATGTAGGAAAAAAACAACAAAAATAATACTTATGCTGAATAGGGAAGTAATTAAGCAAGAATAGTGAGACCCAGTTCTATTATCTATTTGGCATCTTGGTCATATATACATCCCTTAGCTTTTGGGAGTTATAAAACAAAACCATGAAAAACATCTCTTAAAATAGTTATATCTCTGTCAAGGTATCCAAAAATAGTACTCTAAGATGTGTTAATTTATATATTCCGTACATAGTTTAGTTTTTCTTAACACCTCTTTAAAATAGGACTTTCCCACTTGCAAGAATAACAAGCAACACAGACATTAAGTGATTTATGGGATGCCACATGTTATTGTGGTCCCGGATCTGTGCAGATGCTCTCCCTTCCATGTATTAATGTTGATTTTTAAAACAACTTTGTAGTTAAAAATTTTGTGAAATGTTTCATGCACATAAATCTACAGAAAGATAACACTAAGAGACTAGTAGAAATGAGATGTCAAGACAGGATTTTTTGTTTCGGCGTTTCAGTATAGCCTACAAGAACTTGTGTTTTAGAGAGGCCCAGAGGTGCAGAACTATGTAACTCATGACACTTACCCCCTACACCCTAAAGCTTGGCTGTGACTGTGGTTCATTCTGGGATCTAGACTGAGGGAATAGTCACTACCTAGAACACTGCTTGTCATCATGACAGAGGGAAAGAACAACATGGTAAACCTCATGCTGCCTGTCGAGGATTCTGCCCTGAAGTGACACATTAATCCTGTTCAAGTCATGTGGCTACACCTGAGGTCATGAGGGCAGGAATGTACAATCCTCCTGCAGAGAAACATTAAGTAAAGGTAAATACAGCCTACTACAGTAAGAGATTGGACTGAAATTTTTTTCAAAGCGTAGGGAAAAATGAGTTCACAGTGCAGTTTTAAAGAGGCAGTAGGAAAATGCGTAAGATTGGTTTCTGCTTATACCTCAACGTGGCAGATTATATTCTTCAAAGGTGGTCACAGCAATATGTCTCATCCCACATATTCTAGAAACTTACCATTTCCTATCAAAAAGTGAAGTCTAGTTGAGAAAAATAAACATTGGTTCATTCATTGTGGGAAATGTACCATACCAATGTAAGACATTAGTAATAGGGGAAACTGGGTGTGGGATATATGAGCAGTTTCTGTAGTATCATTGCAATTTTTCCACAAAATTAAAACTCTTCTGAAATAAATTATTAAAAAGTCATAGTGAATAGGGAAAAATAAAGAAAATTTGGAAAATAGTGAAGTACAGGAAGAAAGAGTAATGATTCAAAAGAGCTGCCTAGGTTGGATGCTTTTGGAAAGGTAAGAATCTAAAAACTTCTGGATGTGGGATCATAGGTAGAAAGCAATGTCTTATATATAAGCTGGCCAAGGACAGAGCAATTTCAGCTTGAAACCTAACCAGGAAGACTAAGAACAAGTGCTCAGGTGGGAAACTGTATTAAACAGTACACCTGATTTACCTTCCCATATGTGAATATGTACCCCAAATGAAGAAAAGTAGTTCAGGCCAGGTGCTGTGACTCATGCCTGTAATCCTAGTACTTTGGGAGGCCAAGGTGAGTGGATCACTTGAGGCCAGGAGTTCAAGACCAGTCTGGCCAACATGGGCAAAATCCTGTCCCTAATAAAAATACAAAAATTAGCCGGGCGTGGTGGCACATGCCTGTAATCTCAGCTATGTGGAGG